AGGTCATAGACTTGGTATTTAGGGATAGAAACAGGATAGACGCGGTGGGGCTAGAGCTCGTTGGCTGACAGCAGGCCTGTATTACCATAGAGGTGGTCCATGAAGCAAAGTCATGACAATTAGAATTACGCATGGGCTATAGTCTCAAATTAGTCATCCAGACGCAGGGTATGGAAAATAATGCATCGAGTAGCACAGATAGGGTGGCAGGGGTCAAGTGAAATACTTGAACCAGGGAGATAGCAGACGGATCCTACGGGACAGGAAGGAGACTGATAATAACTATTGGACGAGGACTGCGGGACAGTACGGCAGGCTCTGATCAACATTTCCAGCACAAGGGTGAGGGGGTGAGAAAGCCAGCGTGGAGTGTGGAAAGTTGTCATGACATTGCTTAAAAGGACACACCATACAACATTTAAATAAACAAGTAAAAAATCGTGATAGTGAATGCGTACTACGAGGATATAGGATTAGTGAAGGAAGATACTCAGGAGGAACGAAAGATTCCACAATTTTTTATCAGACAATTTGTCAGGGGATCGGTTTCACTTGGCTCTTTGACGAGCTGTAGTGTGGTGCTAAAAATGACAATGCTCACTAACAATGCCGGTAAAACGTCTGGGAATGTGCCACATCCAGGGTCCGACTTTGGAAATGATCATGCATACAATGGACTTCTGACTGGGTGCGTTCCTCTAAGTCTTCCTACTAATATGATCCAGTTGCGAAAACAAGGTCCAACAACTTTTAAATTGCTTATAGTTTGTATATTACTAGTGAGTCATTATCGGTGCTTTTAGCCTTGCAATCCTAAAGTGCCTATCTTTGAATTTCTTCATTCATTGATAGATCTAAATCTATTTCCTCGTTTGATCCCATCTCAATTATTGTAGCTGTACAGGCTAGCTAGGCAGTTTCGATTCCCTTGAGTTTCTTACACCGGTCTTCTCTCTTCCTGATTGTTCAGTATTCCTAATCTAGTTTGTGCGAAATTCTAACCAGGTTTTTTTCCAGTAACGCTTCTTAATCAATACCCTTTTGTTTTGTGCATGTGTGTGTTCGTCATTCTATCGGTATCACATCTGATTGAATTTATTTTGATCTTTTCTATTAAGTCTCATCATCTGCCTATATTTTCTTTATCTTGAACTTACATGCCTTGTCGTTCACCTATGTCCAAACGTCTAATATGACTGGACTTCTTGCACGATCATTTATTATTATTGCACTACTTGCTCCTTTGTTCTCACTTTTTCCCTGCTTGTGTTCTCACTTTATTTCAAGCTGATTCTCCAAGGACTTTTAACTTATTCCTATTCAGTTTTCCTAGTTATTCCATTTTTAAATCTCTATGTAATATTAATTGCTAAGACTTTCTTTCCCTCTTTTTCATAATCTTCCTCTTATCCTTCAAATCTTTTCATCATTTAAAATCTCACTCTACGGCCTCAATTAACCAGATGATACTTAATTTTGACCTATTTCAAAAGCCTCTGTTGTGGACGCTTTGGGGCTCTTAAATGCTTGTTCCGATATGGCACCACTAACTTTAAAAACTCAATTTCATAGCTTATAACGCCTAAGGGCATACACGAGCTCGCAAAATAACGTTGAATTCGAATTTCGATATTAACAAGGGTTACTTTTTATGCTTAGATTTCTAAGCTACTTGGATCTTGCATTCACTGTTGCAAATATCTTCATTTTAAACTTTTTTGACCTATCTTTTCTTTTTTGCTTAGTTAATCTTCTTCTACTACATTTAATCTATTATACTTTCTATGACCCTTCTTAACACAATGATTCATATTTTAATAAATGTTTTTAGACCTCATTCAAATAACCTTGACTTTTCTTTTTATACAGAGACTGTTAGTTTGCTAGCTACTATGACACAATGTGCTCCAAAACAACTGTCCGCCTGCCTTCCACAGATCGTGCCTCGTCTTCTTACTGTGCTTCTTGAGTCTCAACCTCAGCTTCGCCAAGCAGGAGGCAAAGCACTCACGCAAATTGGAGGTGTAATTCGAAATCCAGAAGTCCAAGGTATGTGGAATATTGGCTTACATATATTATTTATTCTTTTTTTATTTCGGTTTTGAAGGCTTCATCTTTATTCAACCGGCTAACAAACTAACTAACTGTCTACTTTTTTCATCTATTTTCCTCATGACTACTTATTTATTTATTTATTTATAGTCGGATAGTTTAGATGTTATTTTTGGGGAGACATTGCTTGTCCCAAAAGTCTTTTGCCCGGTGACTTATTAGCAATTGTAGCT